AAAAAGTGAGACATGGGTATAGGTATGGAGAGGAGAGCGAGTAAAACTGAGAGAGGAAGAGAGAAAATTATGGGCAGGAGAGTCGTTATTTTGGGGCGGGCACTCGTTCGTGGAGAAGCGTTGTAATTAATACTCTCTATTCTCAGCAGTCGTCATTTTCCCGCGATTCTTTTACTTTAATTTGTCTTCATTCAAGGATAGGGATAAAGTGAAGAGAAAAAGATAAAGATACAGAGAGTGAGAGAAAGAAACTGGGGGAGGGGACGACAACAACAGTTATTGTAGAGACGTAGAGAGAGGGGGAGGGATGGGGTAGGGGAGAGAGGGGGAGGGAGGGAAAGACAGAGAGACGGAGAGAGAAGAAACAGGAGTGGCGACATTGAGATGTAATTAATTACGATTCGCTGACGTTGGTCTCCTTGACAAGGTTGGCAATGAGAACGGTAAAAATAGCCCAATAACAGCATGTTTTCATTAAATGTTAAGAAATACTTTTATATCCTTATTCAGCAAAAGTTTTTCTCTTTGTCCTCCTCTTTTTTTTCATTCAGGAAGCTATTGCGCTAATTTGTTTTGGAGTAAATTTTTTGTTTTGTTTTGTTTCGATTGTCCATTGTGGTATGTGTGTGGTGTATGTTTATGTGTGCGTGTGTTTGTGTGTGTTTGTCACTCTTGAGTCTGTATTTATAGGTCCCATATTCTGTTGTTACTATACATCAAAACAAAGTACATTATATTATACGAGAGTCGAGAGGCGAGGGGCTCAGTGGTAGACCATTGGTCTCGCAACTGGGAGGTCCCGGGTTCGAAGTTAATGGATGCGCTAGTGCCCTTTGGTAAGGCATCCTCGTTATCAAGTCCCTGGGAGAAGCTATCGGACCACTTTTTTCCTTACTTACAAACAAACCAATGTTTCCTAAGTAGTTATAGATAAAAACAAAGCTATAAAACTCATACACATATCACCCATCTCTCTCGGTCGTATCTTGTCTGTTGGTCACTCGTTATATACACAATATCATAACTAGTATTCCTGACATCGGTATCAGCGATTGTTCATGGTAAAATATTTCCTATTTTGTCTGACATTCAGCTGTAGAAAACAAACAAAGGAGAAGGAGAATGAGAACAAAACAGAGAAGGAAAATCAATAACCTTGATCTGTCACACGGTATAAGTATGGGAGGTGAAAGCATCTGTGCAAATCAATACTGGTAGAATAATATGTTAACCATATAGATTTCGTTATGTGGAAGAAGAACAAGGGCAACAAGATGGCCAACAAACCTTGGCCTATTTGGGTCCAGTCATTTAGGGGCACTGAATATATTAGCAGAGCGGTGCCCCCTCTCCGGTGAGGATAAAATGCGAGAGAATCAGATATTGCCTCCTCCTACTTTGTTTTCATTATTTATTTAATTTATTCGTTTGTTAAAAAAAATCATTTATTTATTAATTCATTTATTAATTCATTCATTCATTCATTCATTTATTTATTTCTCCTATTTTATCATGAAAGCTGTCTTGAGAATCCCTGTTTTTTTTTTTTTTTTTTTTTTTTACAGCTGCGCCCAACTGAGTTCACTCATCATTTATACATAAGGTGTTGATTAAGGGGCACGTGCCCCTTTTATAATTACACCACTGCCAACACATATTGACGTTGGTAATGTAGAAAAAGATTTTCGATCCAGCCTTGATGCATTTAACAAAGAAAAATGTTTAAATCCTTCTGACGCCTTGTCATTGATCGACCCTATTTGCCTTGTTTGTAACACTTGTGGAGCCCCCGTATGAATACGTGTCTTTTCGTATGACACGACTCAATTCCTATTAATCTGATGATGTATAATCACCACAGCGTGTGACAGTTGGATCACTGTGGTAAATTGATGAAGGCTCTTTAATCTTACACGAGAGTTTCTGGGTTCGATCCTCGCTTGGTGCTTGCAACTTGCTCACATATTTTTCCCTTCTCTATATCCAGGTGTAAATAGCTAACTGGGGATAAAATAATTAAACTCTCTGTGTGAAGAGCAGTAGTAATACTGACGTTCACTTTATTTCATTGAATTGTTAGAAAAGGTGACTTGAAATGTCGACGGCAATATGTTGTTTGTTAGGTTAAAGTTAAAGTGTTGCGTTCGGTAAGGAGTTGAAGTTAATATAACTCGACTGGTGTAGAAAATTTACCGCAGAGTAATTGTCACATAAGCATATGTCTTTGTCTAAGAACCCTCCGTCAATGCTTTGCTTTAAACAAAAGTTTGTACAAATGTTCACATCTCATATATGAGAGGTTCGACAAAAATAGTCATACATACTACGTAAAAATATTCTGTAAAAGCTTTAATCTTTATTAATGATGAATAAGTTTTGACAATCGACAAACTGCAATTCTTTACATTAAATTATGTAGTGTTTATTTAATTTTTATTGTGTAACTATTTGACTGTTTTTGTGTGGGTCAAACCCTCATTTGTGTCCCCCTTTTTTAAATAACAAGTTAGGCTATGCCTCACCACATACGTCACGATCACCATCACAATAACGATTGTTCTTTCAACACTGCACTACCAGTGCTAGTCACTGAATTCTGCGTATAATCAATAGACCATTTTCTTCATATAATTGAAATGAAAGCATAAATATTGGTTGAGTGCCAAGTTAAAAATTATTTCATCCATACCTGTTACGAATAATTATATTTAAATAGTCAGAATGCAAATTGCATATATTATTGTTGCTAGGTAGGGAAAAACTGATTTTCTAAACTTTAATATCATTAACTAAGTAATTATGATAACCATATCTGTATTTATCTTCATCTTCTTCTTGTATTCCCATCTTGTATGCCCATCCTGCCCCCTCCCTTCTCTCTCTCTCTCTCTCTCTCTCTCTCCCTCTCTCCCTGTCCTTCTCTCTTTCATCCCTTTGATTTCACTCATTTTTATGACTGGGGATACATGGTTATGTAGTTCACCAATCCGTCTGCGAGAGTTTACAACGCAAACGCATTGAAATGTGTCAATTCTGATAGAGAAATATATTTCCGGGCGCGTTCCAACCTCAGTTTAACGTTAATCAAGACCTATATTTGCCCAAGATTTTCTCTGCTTAATTGGCAAAAAGCAATATTTCACATTTGCGTAAATTATATTTCGCATGTTATAAGTAGAAATGCCTATCCTAAGATTGATGTTGTTGTTGTTTACTTGCTTTTTTTTTTTTTTTTTTGATATCGTCGGTGGCCTATTGGAACTTTTCTTAGATTTTAAAAATATCATTGTACGTTTATAACTTTTCTGTTCTTTTTTAAAAACCTGTGCAAAGAAATGTGATCATGATTTCTCTCAAAGATCAAGTAACAACTATTTTCAAGCGATGTTTAGTTACCATTGGGCTTGGATGTGAGGCACAAAATGTCTTCATTTGTGCGAGGAAGTCCATTTTAGAACCACAACAGAAAATATACAAAGCATGCAGAATGGAGTGAGAACGCACGCTTGTGTTATGTATGGAGGAACAACATCTGGCGTGGTTTGCCCTGCCGAAACGAAGCGAGAAAACGCACGTCATTTTCCCGGCTCAGTGGGCTAGCCAGGGAGCCATGTTATTGAGAACTGAAAAGGAACGATAATCATCTGAAGACTAACAATTTTTGACACATTAATTGAATGAAAACAGTTGCAGTCTAATAAGTGGTAATAGCCGAATAAAAGTATCTTTTTATTGAATGTTCCGGTAATTATGCCTAAAAATAGCTCAAAGCAATTATCGGAGCTGATGATTGTTAAAATCTTTGTGAACTTGAGAAACACCACCCACACTTTTTGAACATACTATTGATAGTTATACCTCGTTAAACAGATAGTTGTTTGAAGCGGATATTATAGTAAAACAAGCTTGTTGCACTTAATATATCTTATGCTACACAAAGTTTGTAAAACACAAAGCTATATGAAACGGAAATTGAAAACTATCATAAGTTTTATCCATCTTTTCACCGATTTCTTCCTTTTATGATACAATTTTCCGGAAAGGTTACCTAATTCAACTTGGAAGGAAATAATTGATACTGTTTAAGGTGAATAATGATGCATTTAAATGAAAGCTGCACAATTTTTAAAGATTTGAAGAAGAAAGGAAATCATACATGAGAATAACAAGAACGATAATATGACTGTTCGCAACGAGAACCCCACTCCCCCCCCCCCCACCCCCCCCAGCAAAAACCAATTCGTACGATTCGTACTTCAACAGAAATTTTGTTTTTAATTGTGAAACCAGTGCTACGGGATTACGAAGATTAGGAATGTAGACTACACAGCTGTGATTGGCAATCGCTCAGACATGCAATTATGAAGTATTGTTGAATATATATTTAGACCTGGCTACCATTCTATTTCAAATTTGTTTGGATATTATTGTTGCATGACCTTCCTTTCTCACAGAACAATGCTGTTATTGATTAATGCAGTTAAAAAACACACGCTAGGCATAACACTGCATGTGAAACAAATTTTGAGTGGGTTTTATATACGTTGTTTGTTCCATACCTACACTAGACGCATAAATAACGATGACTGGTATTAACATTTTTTGTTAACTGTAATTTTTATTCGATTATTTGCATTATTATCTATTATAATATTTGATTGGCAAGTTTGCACGGAGAGCAGATTCTCTGTGCTCTATAAATGCATAATTCTTTCATTATCCACCGCCCCTCCCCCTCCCCGGTTTCTGAAACGAATATCATTGTTTATAACATTTCAAAACCTTTTCTTTTATATCTATGAATCTACTCGATTTTGATTTAATTGTTTTCTAGTTGATGTTGTCATCCGATCTTATCTAGTAACATACACTTGTGCCAGGTATAGTTTTTCCTGACTAATTATAATGAGAGCATCATGATTTGGTTGGAATAACATGTAAAGGACCTAATAATCGTGTTGTCTCGGGAAATATTAAACCCCAATAGGGTATGGGCCAATTGATGAACACCTATCATGGACTAGCCCAAGATAGTAAAGAAGAATATGAATCGACAATGGCAGCTCTCTGGACAACCGTTGTTTGGGAAGACATCTTTACTTCTTGCGGATCCTCCTGCCTCTGCCGGGTGCTGCTCCGCACACGTAGCCGTGCTTCATACTAGAGCTCTCCATGGCTGCTTCTCCAGTTGATTTGTTGATCACGTAGTCACCTAGAAAATGATCAGCCAAAATATGAGTTTTACATTATACTAGTAGTACTACTAGTAGTAGTAGTAGTAGTAGTAGTACTAGTAGTAGTAGTAGTAGTAGTAGTAGTACTAGTAGTAGTAGTAGTAGTAGTAGTAGGAGTAGTAGTAGTAGTAGTGGTGTAGTAGTATAGTTTAGTAGTAGTAGTGTAGTAGTACAGTATAGTAGTGGCAGTATGTAGTAGTAGTTGTAGTAACATTAAGAGAAGAAGGAGGAGGAGTTGTAGTCGTCAGGGGCGGCGGAGCGTCTTTCAAATATGGGGGTGCACCAGCGAAAGGGACACTTTATGGGAAAATGGAGCACCTGCAACATGCAACCTCAAAGCGACAAATTACAATCTCTAGACATTATACCCTACATCAAAAACTATTTACCTGGTCTAGACAAGGAGCGGTTCAAGATACTGCCCTCGGCACCATACTTTGCTGTTGTATGTTATACTGTGCAGGCGCGTACGCAGGATTTTTTCGAAGAGGGGGGGGGGGGGGGGGGGGGGGGGGGAGGGTTTTAAATTTTAAAATCGCACCGAAAATTTCGCAACGACTCAGCCAGCCGCTGAATAAGCTGGGGAGGTGGGGTAAGAGCACCTTTTTTGGTCACCCATTAGCACAATTTTTTATTTTTTTTTTTTTTTATTGATTTCTTTCTTTTTTTCCCCTAAAAATTGAGAGGGGGGTTTTCCTCCAAAACACACCAAAAAAACATTGAGGGGGTTCGACCCCCCCCCCCCCCCCCCCCTGCGTACGCGCCTGATACTGTGAGTATTGTTTATAGGTCAAATGACTAGATGCAGAAACCGATTCTAATGAAATTTTAAGCACTATGTCATAAGGAAAGAATTGATAACACCTTCAATAAAATAAATATATATATAATGCACGCGAGCATAGCAAGTGAGGTTCGAGAGAGTTTAGAGAAAAACTCTCAGCCGCTTTAAACTATGGGCAAAAAGGGCAATTGATTGCCTTGGCATGCTCCGAAGTTCAAAATGTCATGAGGTTTAAGGATTATCGGTTTAACTTTTACTATACAAAGCTTCTTCGATTATTTCTAAATATGGATCGTTATGTGACCGCATAAAGGCACAATTTGTATTAAGCGACAGTGGAAAATATATGTAAGGGGCACCTATCAAAGGGCAATTACATAAAAAGGTTCCAGTGGAACTTATCATATTTGAAAGGATACTTATCAAAGGAAAACAGGGATATTTAAACGAAGGGAAGGGGCACTTGTTAGAAAGGGAACATGGGCATGTGTCAACATGGGAAAGGCACTTATTTAAAAGGAAAAGAGCCAAATGTCAAACTAAATGGGGCACTTGTAAGAGCTGAAAAGGTGTATTTCTCATATATTAAACGGGGCACTTGTCAAAGATGAAAAGGGGCATTTCTTAGAGAGAAAAGGGTAGTAATAGTAGTAGAAGAAGTCGTAGTCGTGGAAGTAGGTTAATCATAATGAGGATGGTTATGATGATGAAGATGATGACGAGGATTATGATAATGATGATAATACTAATTCTAATTCTAAACAAAATAATGATAATAATAATGAAAATAAAACATACTTATTATGATAACAGTAATAGTGATAATAATAACCATGACAATCCAACCGGTAATCCGACATTAAATTTGCTCCTGTGATCTATTTCGTCAAAAGTATAGGGTTAGAGTAGGGCTGCAATTGTGTTTTATGTTAGATTTATGTTATTAGGGCTGGATGTGTAGTGTTGTGTCCAGAGCTGAAGTTTGGAATTCGGTTAGCGTAGGGAATTACCGGGGAACAATTATCGCAAGAATAAGTGTAGTGCAATCAAAATATGATTGTAAAGACAGTCAAGAAATCAACTTAAGGCAACTCCTATCGCCAGTAGAAATAAAGTCTGGATTATCAAAGTCATATGTCATTGTCATGACTATTTGTACATTTCAAGAGGTTATCAAAAGTTCCCCATACATTGTCACTTGAATTAAAACAGGTCCTCTGAGCCATAAACAGCAACGGCGAGAGACCCGGAGAGAGAGAGAGAGAGAGAGAGAGAGAGAGAGAGAGAGAGAAAAAAAAGGGGGGTCCAGAAAGATGAAAATTGTTATTTTGTAGGATTTGTCACAATTATTTTCTTCTTTTTAAAGCCAATAGACCAATTCAAGGTTAGCACATGTCCCAAATGACCCCGAATTTCCCCAGATCTTCAAAACATGCATGAACAGGTCCCACTTAATACATTTTGAAATAATCACACCTACAGCGATGGAGGTGCTACAAAAACTACACTTTGCTTCCCCTTTTCAAAGAATACTCCCACCTGTGTATCATGGAGTACACTGCTTGTGCATCAATGGATAATGATTACATATCTTTTTATGAGCACGTATCCAGTATTTTGTCTCCGTGTATTTCACAATTTGGTCTGCAATGAACTGTATCTGCTCATGCTCAGACTGCAACTTTGAACTGGCTTAATGACAAATTAGATTAATAGGTACACCTACCTGAGTCATATTGTGTCGTAATCCACAAATTTCCTACACCGCCGCTGTAGTTCTTGATATATTGGTTTACAGCATTCTATGGGGGAAATAAAGAGCCAGTAATATATTTCATTAATGAAAAGAAAATATTGGCTACATTCTATGTTTTTAATCGGTTTATAACAGTGCCTAAATAATACAAGACCTACGCATATGAAACAATGTGGCATTTCACACTCTTGCACATGCTACAAATCACAAGACGTTCGGATCGTAGAGGTGTCGTTGTCGAGTGGATATGTTACTGGACTGTGGATCACAAGGTCCGCGGTTCAAGTCCCGCCGCGCCAATAATTTCCTTTGTCAAGAAACTGATCTACCTTTGCCACTATCTACCCAGTGTTAAATGGGTACCGGGTAGGATGCGAAAGTTAATGTGGTTGGATGAACAAATGTGCGCTAGTTAAAATGACGCCTTGCTGGAATGCTCCCTAGGGAGTGGAGAATGTGCATACATTATGTGCGGGTAAGCCTGAATCCAATGACCGGGGTAATAATATATATCTGTAAAGCATTTTGAGAGGGCCTGCGGTCCTGAAAAGCCTATATGAGAACGAACTATTATTATTTTCTTACTGGACGTTCATTTATACACCTGTGTGAAGAAAAGCAATAGAGAAACAAAGCTCGTGTTTAAAGATAAAGTTGAGACCTGGTCATCTGAGTCATTGTGAAAGAAACGTTGTAGAATCGATCAGAAAAGTATTGGTATACTGCAAGGTTCTGGAATCCTCAAAATGATAAAGTTAATGGTAAAGTTACAAGCACTGTACACAGAAAGATGTTTATGGGGCTACACGAACATGTGGCATTAAAATTCGTCCCGATTTTTAGGTTGTTACATGCCATATTTAGAATATGAAAGCATTTGAAGAGACATGTTTTTCAGGGAAAATTTTGTATCTGATGTTTTTCCACACTTTCATTATAACAATGATATCGCTCACAGATTTTATATACCTCTTCCCAGAACTCCACCTTTTCTTTGACATGTCGCACCGCATCATAACCATAAGCATATTCAGCCAAGGCGAAAGGCAGTTCATACACAAGTTAGAGCACTTTGAAAATATTAAGATTTGGAGAAAAAAAAATAAAAGAAATGTTGATGAAAATTTCAAGACCATTACCCTGATGATTCATGATCTGATTATATTTTGGAGTAGGCTGGTCAACAACCAAAGGTCAAAGGTCATAGAAGTCGATTACCGAAATTACAGGTAATAGCTGATCTCGATCGTTGTCACCATATCACAATTACTTGGAGTATAAATTTCACACAGGTTGATAGTATGTATCACCATAGGAAGACGGTCTGATTAGATGTTGTGGTAGGTAGGTCAAAGGTCAACGTTCATTAAAGTCAATTTCCATCAAATAAGGGGTTTGGCCCTGTTGTCGCGATATATTAAGAACTATTAAACCCATTTTTGGTTATAGCATGCATCACCGCCGTTTAATAGATAAAATTATTAGGTCAAGGGTCACAGAGGTCCATATAATTATATGAAAGTTCAAGTTTAGCTGTTATCTATCCATTTTTGTACATATATTGAACAAAAACTAAAACTTCACTTTTTTGCTCTGGGAATGGGAAAAATGGGTTAATTGCTCCCTCATGAAATATGTGCAAATCACAATTACTGTAACTGATTGTAATATAAAGGAAAATTGTATGTCCAAAAAAGAAGGAAAACTTGAAATTCCAGTAACAAAATATAAGCCTACAAATAATAGTGAGGGGATGACATCAACTCGCTAATTCGGATACAGCCTGTGTGATACATAACGCTGTTTCGTGAAATATAAAGTGGGCCCATATTCAGCGAGTTTTAGAAAGCAAATTTTTTACCATGTTTGGGGATATAGTGCGGAAAAAACGGCACATCCCCGTATACCGTGATAAGTGAGTACCTTATAAATCGTTCTCAAATCGGTTTCTTGAACTTTATGTGGAAAACCTATTGGTTATGCCAGCAATGCGAATATAACGCTACTTCCCCCCAAAATCATGAAAAGTTTGGAAGGATACATATTGTATAATCCATCTTTCAAGATTTTTTTTCTCAAAAATCCCCTCTTATCCTCTGTGACTATTCAAAAATACACTGTTATCTCCTTTTCCCTTATAGATATCCACCTATTTTCCATTATTTGTATACTTTTCTTAATTTGTTTAGGGCCGTGCATCTCAGATTTAACATTGTTAAACGATCCATAACGTTCTTATTTTTCGTCCGATTTTGATGAAACTTTCACCGTTTATTTTTTTGGATTTTGTTCTCTATCTCTCCAATTCAACTTGCAAATCGTCCAGATTTGCCCTTTAATTATAAAATTGGCTCATTTTAGGCTACAGAATCAAACAGACCAACTGCTCTTCGACGTCGCCATATCGGAAATGAAGATACATTGCTTTTGTTTCCATCATTTATTAATTAAATAAAGGAACATGTACATCAAGATAACTGCACTTACCGGTTTCCCAGCCGATACTTCCAGGAGCGAAGCAGATTCGCCCTTGTAATTCGGCAATTGCTTGCACTTCCCTTTAGCCTCCTCAAGAGTGACTTGTTCGCCCTCAAAGATCTTGATGCACACGGATGCAATTTGAGCATGATACCACTCAGGAGCGCACCACGACTCCTCAACATCTTGGATAGGGGGAGCTGGTGGCGATGGAGGAGGAGCAGGTGGAGCTAGCTCGAAGATGTTAGACTTGGGTTCCTGGGCTGGTGGTGATTTGTTCGCACCGTCTGCATTATTTTGGATCTCTGCTCGCTTTTTATTGAACATGTCTTTCAGATTAAATGTGAAGCCTCGTTTGGCTCGGAGTTTAGCCTGTGGTAGAGCGTGAACTGCAACCAGCAGTCCTCCTAGTAGGAAGAGGCTTAGAACTCTCCTCATCTTGTCAACCACCTGATGATTTAAAGGCGCCAGGAATAGATCAACTTAAAATTGTGAACGAATAAAAATCCTACAACACAGGAACGATGTATGCTCAGTGATTGAAGGATTAAGATATATTTGATACAAATTGTTGACATTTAGGTGATGGGAAAACGCAATCTGGCGAGGGATTTTGGGTGGACGAGGACACTGTACCAAATCTTTCGCACCTGTTGCCCTATTAAAGGAACGATCGCTGTTATTCTCTTTTAATCAGTTGCTGTCAATTCCGATTTCTGTTTGATTTATTTGTATGTTTAGCACATCTGATATAAAAATGAAATAGGTAACGGTTTTATAACAAATGCATGTTTGAAAAGCAAGTATTAATGTCTCCTAGGTGACAATAAAAATATGTTTTCTTGTTACATACCTTTGAAAATGTGTAAAGGTATTGTAAAATCAAAGTGCGCATTCTTTTAATGTGTGAAACATCTTCGTCGACGACTAATGAATGTATAAAAAGGGAGTGTATATAAGCTTCAATGGATTTTTATTACCACCTATTGATATTGCAGTGTGAAGATAATTGCCGTAAACTGTTAGAATATGTAGCAACATAACAAAGATTATTTTCTCATGTTCTTGTCCGAGAAAGCAATATGCACCATGTTGTTACCCACTGAAAAAGAGGTAGCCGGACTCTGCAAATAGCTTTTATAATTATAACGGCAGCAAGAGTGATCTTGTTTTGTCTCGTTTTCAAGAGGAGCATGGTGATGTTAAAGACGAAGCATATATTGTCTCTATTACCATTCCCTACATTATTTTCTTATAACTTTTTATCCATGTTTTTTAACGAATATTTCCTTTCCTATCCTCAGTTAATTTGTGGATCTTTAATACTAGCATTCTGGATAATCAGTATAATTATCTGTACATTAGAGATTATTCCTACTCTAAAGGTGTATCGATTCCTGGTTTACCCAACAATCGTGGGGTGGAAGTGACGTCATCTCTATTGTTCCTCGATATTATTAGCGAGTTAAAGGCCGGTCACATATAGCGGACTTTAATATTACAGTCATCAATGGCAGAAAAACATGAATATGGTGTCACTAGAAAGAAAATAATTTATTATATGCCCTGATTAAAATAATTTCAAGATCACATTTATTTATTTATTTCTGCATTTTTCAGAATATAATAACCAAGTAACAAATAACATATAAACGTAAGGTATAATACAAAATATACAAATAATAATAACTTCATGACAATTTTGTTTATTACATATATACATATAATAACGAAATTTAATATTTCTATAACATATCATCATAAATTTAAGGTATTATCCGCAGGCGCGGATCCAGGGGGGGGGGGGCGAGCGGGCCTTGCCCCCCCCCCCCCCCCCCGCAAAAAAATATTTAAAAAAAGGAGAGAGAGAGAAGGAAAAGAAGGGAAAGGGAAAGAGGAGAGAAAGGGAAAAAAGAAGAGGAAGAAGAAAAGAAAAGAGGGAAGAAGGAGATCGGGGGAGGACTTGCCTCCCAGGCTGTTGCCTCCCCCCCCCCCCCCCCTCCCCCCCATCAAAAAATAAAAGAGAAGGAAGGAAAGGGAAAGAAAAAGAGGAGATAAAGGGAAGGACAAAAGAGGAAGAAGAAAAGAAAAGAAGGGGGATATCAGTTTTCCCGCAAACAAGTTGTGGATCGGGGGGGGGAGGCCCTAGCCTCCCCCCCCCCCCCCCCGTCCTCGCTAAAAAAAAAGAGAGAGAGAGAAGGAAGGAAAAGGGAAAAGGAAAAGAGGAGAGCTAAAAGGGAACAAAAAGAGGAAGAAAAAAAGGAAAGGGAGAAAAGAAGCGGAGATCAGTTGCGGTTAATCCCGCCAACAATGTGTGGAGCGGGATGGGGACCAAAATGACCTTGCCCCTCCCCACCCCCCCCCCCCAGCAAACCTAAAAGAGAGATAAGGAAGGGAAAGAGGAGAGAAAGGGAAAGAAAAAAAAAGAGAATGAAGAAAGGTAAGGGATATCAGTTGCAATTTTCCCGCCAACAAGGTGTAGATCGGAGGGGGGGGGGGGCACTGGTGTACTGATAGGGGGGGGGGGCTTTGGAGAAATAGAATTTAAACGTGGTTTATTTCTAATTACATAACGGTGGTTTACAAATAATGCTGAAATGAGATATTTTTCCGAGAAAAAAACTTTCTTTGAAAAATTATATTAAAGAGAAATAGAAAGAAAGAGAGCGAGAAAGAAAAAATAGTTAACTGCCAGTGTCACATTATAATGGGTATCAAAATATGCTCATCTGACCATGATCAAATCCATAAAACCCCAAGGGCTCTGCCCCCTGGATTCTACCTAAGGCCCAAAGATGCTCATCTGACTGTCATTTAATGCCTAAAACCCCTGATTTCTGGGGGCTCTGCCCCCTGGACCCCACGCCAAATAGTGTCCTGCCAGTGTCAGTCCCGCCCCCCCCCCCCCCACTCCGGGGTCGGAATGACCGCATGCGTGTTACCAAAATGTCCGGGAAAGGGGTACTTTTCACGCACCAAAGTCCGGCTCGTACATACACAAAATTGACTTTACACACCGGACTTACGGGGTGTTTTCAAAAGGAGGGAACACGCATACGCGTACCCTAAATAACACTGAGTGGGGGGGGGGGGGGCGGGACCTAAGTATCAGTAAGAATAAGTATATAAGTCTGTATCCACACAAAAAACGTGGAAAATAGGTGGACTGTAATGATAATAACAACGACCACAACAATATGAATACTTCATGTGTGTGTAATTTGGTTTCACAGACGTGTACCCAGGTCGAAAATCCCATAGAGACCAATAGAGACCATTAGAAAAATTCTATTGTCTCTAATGGTTTCTGTTGGAGTCTATTGGTTTCTGTTGGACCCATAGAATTGAATCCAATAGAGACCATTCAAACCAAAACCAATAGAAACCAATAGCACCCATAGACACTAATATAAATAGAAACCAATAGGACCAATAGAAACCAATAGGACCAATAGAAACCAATAAGACCAATAGAAACCAATAGGACCAATAGGACCAATAGGACCAATAGAAACCAATAGGACCAATAGAAACCAATAAGACCAATAGAAACCAAAAGAACCAATAGGACCAATAGGACCGATAGGACCAATAGAAAACCAATGAGACCAATAGAACCCAATGGGACCAATTATAGAAACCAATAGGTCCAATAGAAACCAATAGAAACCAACAGCTAAATCTATCTCATGCATATTCATGATTACTTTATACGTGTTCACAGAAAATTACATTTTATCATAATTTGTTTAGCAACTTATGACAATGTACATCAATTTTGTGATTTTTATTTTCTTTCGGCAACTAATGACCAATAGATTATTTGTTTAATCATGTTACAATTTCATTCACGTTTTAGCAATAGATATATTGATTATAATGATTACTAACCAAGAAACAATTCATGTATGTTTATTATATAGAATAGTACAAGCCTTCAGTTAAAATAAAGGATATTCTTAAACTCCCTTCAAGTGATCTATGTGATGAAGTTAATGCAATTGAGATTAGAATTTACTTTTTTGGTGGACAGTTGCTAAAATCGATTTTGATTTATCATTATTGATTTACCAATAGAAGCCATTGGACTATTGGTTTCAATAGGGAATTCAGGATATGGGACCATTAGAAACCCATAGGAAGATCTCTAATGGACCAACAGGAACCCATAGAAAATATCTAATGGACCAACAGAAACCCATCATAGAAGAAAATATCTAATGGACCAACAGAAACCCATAGAAGACATGGGTGGATGCTGGTCCAATAGAAGCTTTCTGTTGGTCCATCAGCATTTCTTTCTGTGGGTTTGTGTTGGTCCAATAGATATTTTCTAATGGTTTCTGTGGGTCCATCATTTCACTTTCCCTATTGAAACCATTAGACACCAATAGCTCTAATGGTTTCTGATGGTCCAATAGGATCGGATCCTAATGGAATTTCGACCTGGGTATCAATCAGATGTGATTATTTACGTTTGGGGACCGACCTTTAACGTCACCATCCGAAAGACGTGACTCAGTTTCAAACCTGCGTCCTTGGCTGAATCAGTTGTAATTTCCACTGTCAGCTGGATTACAGCGCCATGTTTTGACGTTGAACCGTTTAATGATCCTTTTTGTATAAGCGGTATTGTATTGGTTAGCGTTCGCCGACTTTAAGCTCCCCTTGTCGTAGATGACGCTGTTTACAGATAAGCACAAATCCCTTTTATAAAGTGCGAGTACAAGAGGACACTTCATGCAGTGGCTCGTCCACAAAAGAAACTGACTTTCTCAGTTAAATAACTGAAGAATTTGAGGGGACCGGTAGGCGCGGACTGAGATGAAAGTTCGTACGGGGAACTACATTGCTACTGTCGTCAGAATTGCCCCTTTTTATAAACAAAATCTTGCATCCGCCCCTGACATAAATATAGGATTTCCCGGCCAAATTCGCGAGTTTGTCATTCAAATTAATTTGTCTTGCGTTCAAATTCGACGGTTTTAGTGCAGTCAGGTATATCTCGGGTTTATATTCCTTTTTCTAGTTTTCAAATCTATGGACTTTTCGTTAGAATCTACGTATGTTTCATTCAAATTAATGAACAATCTGCTTCTTTCGCTATTTGGTCATTCGATTTGGCGCAACACGATTTTCTGACAACGCGACGGTGTACTTTTAGCATTCTAATTCATTTGTAGCATTCAAATTAGCACTTTGTGCATTTAAATTGATGGTCAATATACATGTCTCGTTTATTACACACTTTTTATAGCTCATTCTTTTTCTTTCAAGATTGTTTTTTCATGTGTTTTTTATCATATTTCATTTTCTTGCATTTATACACTTAAACGTATTAGATTTATCTGATTGTTAAGAAGAAAAAAACGACTTGCATCTACGGACCTGATGGTCTCAGTATATTTGTAAATGTTTATGTAAGGAAGTTGTTTGTCTTATGTTTCATCATAATTTCATTATGGCAGAAGGGTACAATATTGTGACTGGGGTAGGGACTCAACAATTTGAACATGATTCATTATTCGGCCATGTCTTTAGCCATCGATCTGCTGGCGGGCAAGTAAACTATGAAACTCTTTAAGAAAAACAGAGGGGTGTGCTGGGTATAAGAGACGATGTGAATTACTTTTGTAAAATTCCTAGTCTGTAGTAAAAAGGGGCGATTGAGGGTACCCCCAACTTTCCCGGGTATATGAACAGAAATGCCATATTCCTTGATTTCGCCCCTTCTTTACTTTATGTCTGACTACACCCATCGGCATTGTCCTTAAAATAAATAAATGGAATAACAGCTTAACAGATCTATGAAACCCTTCGACAAAATTCTAAATTAAATACAAAAACTGGAAAATTGAATGATAATTGGCATGGCAATGCCAATCTGCGCTAACTTAAATGGAAAGTAAATGAATTCGAATGACAAACACGCGAATTTGGCCGGGAAATCCTACACTGTAAAAAAGAATTTGTTCATTGGTAATTTTTACGTATTTTTTCCATGTAGAATTTACTTGAAAACATTAGTTTTGCCACTTACGCACTAAATTTAAGTCTTGCTAACTCAAACTTTCAATTTAGTAGAACATACGTGGAATATTTAAGTAAAATCAAATACATAAAAACTTTAAGTAATTTCAGCTTGTGTTAATTTAGTAATTTTAACTCGAAATCAGAAATTATACGTATTACTCAAACAATTTATGTTGATTATTCTTATCTTTTAAAAGTAAGGACGGATGCAGTGCGTAATGCGTA